GTGCGTGTTTGTGTTTTAGATAGAAAGAGAGCCATGTGGTCAGGACCACCCCAGGCAAGAACAACCACATCACAGCAGCACAGAGAAGTTGAGCAGGGCCGAGGATAGGGCAGCCATCAGCAGGCACAGACCACAGCACACCAGTCAGTCTCAGCACAGACACCACAAGCCAGTTAGTCAGAAGCCTCAGAGTCTCGACTGACATTACAGGAGAAGACCAGAAGGAAGTCAAAGAGCTATTTTTTTTGTTGTTGTTTTGTTTTTAGAGGAATGAAGGGATTTAGGGTGATGGGCGACAACGGTTGTCCGTCACACCTCAGTCCAACGATCCTCTCTTCCGAACAAGGAAATAACATGGAAGATCGGACTGTGGATTAGTGGAAGTGGCGCCTGTTTCAGACAGAGGCAATGCTTTGATCAATCCTGTAAGAGTTAAAGATTCAGGAGCATGCAAGGCAGACCCAGGCTTTGTTTTGCATTGCTTTTGTTTCAGAGTGACGGCTACAACCTAGATTAGACAAGAGAAAAAGAAAAAGACAAAAAAGCAAAAGAAAACAGACATTAGACGGTTAGTGAAAAGTTAACAGGCTTACATTGGAGAATGCAAGATATCGCACGCACTGATTAGTTAGAGGACATCCATGAGATTTAAAAGGTTTAAAGCATGTTTAATGTGATTTAGAAGTCATTTGAAAGTCAGCTGTGCAAAGCTACCATTTAAGAAACAAGAGTGAAGCCCAGTGACTGCTGGCAGCAGTCTTGAAGCAAATGTAAGAAAAGTGTGTGAAAAAGCAAACCATACAGTATTGTGCAAAAGTCTTCACCCACATATAAGCAAAATGTGGGTGTTTTCATTCATATCTATATATCTATCTATCTATCTATCTATCTATCTATCTATCTATCTATCTATATATATATATATATATAGACACACACACACACACGGATATTGAACCGCTTGATACAGTGCTTTCGGTTCGGTGCGCATATGTATCGAACAATACAAAATTTTTAATTTATTTTATCAACTTTTCTCCTGACGATGCTGTCTGTGTTGAGCGCTCAGTGGATCTGCGCTCGACAGTGCAGCCTAGGCGGAGTAGTCGAACGCAGATTCAGAGAAATGGCTCTTTCCAAAATAAAAGCTATACTATACGCTTCTTCTGGTGTATACTCTCAGCAGCATATTAAACATATCAGGTCCCCATAAGGAGAATCATGTGCTAACGGCTGTCTAAATGACTCGGGTAAAGTTTGTAGCATGCGTGCTGTTGTTTTTGTCTGCTTCCACTTTGCACTAGGATGATGTCGGAGTAAATGTGCTGTCATATTCGTTGTGTTCCCACTAGTGCTGTCAGCGTTAATCTCGTTGAAATGACGTTAACGCCACAACACGGCAAATCTCCGTTAACGAGCTACTG